TGTGGTCCCCTCCCCTTAGCTGTTTCCAGGCCCCCCCCTTCCTGGCCAGCACTGCTTTCTTCCTGGCTAGTCCTTCCCCTCCCCTCTCTCCCCATGAAGTGTGTGTGTCTGGTTATTTTTTTTAAATGACTACCTGGTAACCCCTAGCAGTGATCCAGGTTCTTGGCGTCTTTTTTTTTCTTTTTTTTTTGTTCAACAACTTTGGTCCCCCCCCCCCTTTTTTTTTTTTTTTCTCTCAAATTTTTGGGGAGGATGGGGGGTGTTCGGTATTTTTGTTTCAGCCATCTGGCAACCCTATTTACTGTCCTATGCAGTGGCACCTAGACCACAGTAACAGATAAGATCAAGAGACCTCTACAGCATGGGCTGAGCGCCAGCTGGCTTTTAGCTCAAAGGGTAGAGGCTCCTATACTAAGCTTCAGAGGTCCCAGGTCCAAATCTGCCTGGTGGCAGTTAAAAGTGAGGCTCGTTGGGGATCTCAAGGGGTCTCTGGAGCTCGGGATGTGCTTTCTCACCTAGGAAAAGTATGTAACCCACACACCTAGTGTGGTTCACTGTCCCATGCAGTGGTACTTAGACCACTTACAGCGAGCAATAAGAACAAGGGACAGCATGGGCTGAGCGCCAGCTGGCTTTTAGCTCAAAGGGTAGAGGCTCCTATACTCAGCTTCAGCAGTCCTACGTTCAAATCCGCCTGGTGGTAGTTACAGCTGCATGGCAGCTCCTGGGGTGGGGCAGCTGCCCACCATCCCACCCCACCCCGGAGCAGCTGAGCAGCCACTGGTTGGCCCTGCTGAGGAGTGGGTGAGCCTCAAATTCTTGGTGCGTGCCTGCGCACGCACGCACCTTTTAGGGAATCCTGGTCAGGACCCTGTTGTACCAAGTCCCATACAAACACAGAACACAAAGAGAGTCCCTCATACAAAGTCTAGCTATGAAGGAGAGACTGTAACAACAGGTGGGTTGGAGGAGCACACACTAATAGTCAGCCTTCAGAGCAGTAGCCATGTTAGCCTGTTTCAGTAAGAACAACAAGGAGAACAGTGGCACTTTAAAGACTAACAAGTCTTTGGTAAGATACAACTCACTTATTGTATCTCATGAAAGTTTATGCCCTAATAAATTTGTTAGTCCTTAAAGTACTCCTTGTTGTAATAGTCAGTTGTTTGTGAACAGGGTAAGCGGTAAGCATGGTCATGTGAGTTTGCTATCATTTAAAAATAATAAATATGATTCTTGGGGAAGCATGAGTGACTTGTGGTTAAAACCAACTGCATGTTGTACATCCCAGTATGTTTGGGGCTAGCTAGAATTGCTGTTTTCTGGCAACAGAACAACAGAGAGGCCATTCTTTTTTGTCATCCTTATTTATGCTAAATCATCTCAAAATGATTACAAATTGGCAGATTTGAAATTTCCATCACTCTGCAAGAACTGAATCCACATTGGTGAAGATATCTAGGTATCCCCAGAGCCGCCCTTTAGAGATAACTTATCTCGGGGCCTCCACCACCTACTCGGTGAGGAGATATTTCCTGGTGCGTAGGTGTTGCTTTTTTCACAAAGCCAAAGTTTACACTGTTTTTAGTAGTTTGCTGTAATACTGTATCTGTAGAGTGGTGTACTGTGATAAGGGGTAGCTGTACTCTGTCCTGTATAAGTCATTTGTTGCTTTGACACTCAAGAATAATTTACACTCCCCAAACTCTTGCCCACCAATCAATTCTTTCTTACATACTCCCTCGGCCTCCATAGGCGTTAATTTATTTAGGGTTAAGCAATAATAAAAATACTCATATTAAAACTTCTGTATACCATAAAAATTTATTAGACTCACAAGAGCACTTAGATAACAACAAGCACTTACCAGCACTAAATGCTTCCATGCAGGTTACACATTGGCATAGGCAACAGCAGCGTTAAAATCATCCATTAGAGATAACAAATACATTCACCCAGTCCACAGCCTGAAACAGTCATAAACCAGTGACAAATTAATCGAAACCAGTACAGGCAGTCCCCGAGTTACGCGGATCCAACTTAGGTCGGATCCGCAGTTACGAACGGGGCCCTCCCTCTCCCTGGTCTCCAGCAGACCAGGGAGAGGAAGCAAAGCGGCGGAACACGCGGGCAGCGGACAGCCCAGACGCGTCTGGGCTGTCAGCTGCCCGCGTGCTCCGCAGCTTTGCTCTGCTTTGCTCCCCGTCCCCCTGGTCTGCAGACCAGGGGGA